GCCCTTCTGCAGAGCCACATACCAAATTATTTCCCAAAAGTTATAAAACAAGGCAAAGAGGCTCCTCTCTATGAAGAGGAGAGTGCAGTGCAAAGGCAGAGCAAGCACAGCAAGTCCTGGCTTAATGTTGTCAAAACGTTCTTGGAAACCGAGACTTGAAGCAAAAGGGCGTCTGATGGAAGCTGGTCCTCGAATAACACTGTTCCTTTCAGTGTCAGCCAGGATTTCTTTTTTTCTCATTAATGTTACAACAAAACAACACCAAACGAAATGATTAACTTTGGAGTCCCTACTGTGCCGGCACTTAGGCAGGTGGGGTGAGAGGTAGGGCATAGAGGAGAATCAAAGGAGCTGAGCTACAGAAGCAGCACGTCAGGGTCCTAGACAGAATCTAGGTGCAGAAACAAAATGGCACAACTCAAACAAAAAGTCAACAGAGCAAAGACACAGTGTAGATGAGGTACAGAACACCCACCTTTTAGGCTAAGCGCAATGCACCAGATTACGAACTGTGTTTCAGGTATTATAAGTCACACCACTAGTGAAGCGCAAAACCATGAGACACTAAGCTGTATGACTGTGCAGGTCCAAGGAATTTGCTGTTTAAGCCCAGGAAATACCGTATATTAGGATCTCAACCCCAAAGAAAAGAATGGAATCACGGTGGACAGTCATACAGTGGTTTTGACCCTTGTAAGGCATCAGGTTCTGCCGACAGCGTTCACAGCCAGTTCCGCCTCCCAGAGGGGCTCCCGCCACTCTGCTGCGGAGCCCTGGAGCCAGAGCACAGAATATGCTAGGTGGCAGCTCTGATCCAGCTCCACAGGCTCCTCCAGCAGAGCTGCAACAGAGGAAGGGTCACAAGACCCTACACTTTTCAGGAATAAATGTGCAGAAGTTTTATAACTTCCCACCCACCCCAAGAACCACCAAGAATCCACAAAAGGACCAATCACACAAGAAAATCCTAACTATGACTCAGAACAAAGAATGGGTTAATATTCTCCTGGGAGAGAGCTCATTTGGGGCTCATCAACAATAGTACTTAGTGAACAACTAAGTACCACCAAGCCAGGCATTCTGAAGATGCTTGAGAAGATGAAGGTAGAGTATGGATATAAACAACTAAAGTACAGGTTCTTTCTATACAAAGTGCCACAAGAGAGGTGCAGCTGAGACTGTTACTTCAGATCAGGGTTAGAAAAGGCCACATGGAAGAGGCATAACTTGAGATTATTCCTGAATAGCTATAAGGATAGTGACATATAAAGGAAGGGTGATGAGAGAGAGGCATTTCAAATGGAGAACACAAGTGGATGAAAAGCCAGAAAGCCAGAGAGGGGAGGAGAGCGATGTTTAGAACTCCTCACCAGTGTAAGGAGTTCTAGACAAATGGGTAAAGCTGTAAAGGAAAAGCAGGGAGAATAAATCAAAAAAAAAAAAAAAACTGAACCAGTCCAAGGAGGAGGGGGGCATTGTGTGTGTGTGGGGGGGGGGGTTAGTGATTAGCCACTGAAGCCTAGCAAAAGTCACCCAACAGTGATGTGAATGAGAGGAAGGGAAGACATGAGGAATTTTGTATAGATAGTGTCAACAGTTTAAAGACACAAACAAACCGGCCTCAACAAAACAAGAAAGGGACAGAAACAGGGTCAAAGACTTAGTCATACCTGTAGGTGAGTCTGACAACCATCTATGGAATCCCTGGCCTGAGCCAGGCTCTCTGCTAGGTAAAGGTATAGAAAGGCCCTCTGCGCAGTCATTAGCAGACCGCAAAGAAAGTCCAAACTAGTTGGTGATGTGCATTCCCATTTTAGACAGCTCTAAATTGAGGCAGTTCGGCCCCACAGAGAACCAGGCTGTAGCTGGGGTGTTGGGGGGAAGGGCAGCAGGAACAGAAACAGGTTGCACAGACTGAAAACTGTTCAACCACATCAGCTGCTTATGAGAAACTGAAGTTTGCTTATTTGGGGGAGCGATATAAAGCATTTTTCAACAGTCAAGTGCAATATTGTAATCATCCCTACTCTGACACTCCATACAGAAGAGCTCTCCCCCTCCTGTGCAAGAAGAAAATTAAATAAATGATATATGCTTTCAATAAGTGCAGCGGAGGAAATACTGCTGCTGCTGACGGAACTAAGAGAGCTATTACTGTGGGAACTGAGTTGCACTGTTTCCATGGCTTCAGCTGCCACTAGTCACTGCAAGTCCACAAATGAAAGCTGCACAGAAACTTGAGGTTGTTTATATATTTAAAAAAAAAAAAACAACTAAGCCTGGGAAAACTTGCTGCCCCCAAGGCAGTTGCAAATCCCAGAGCTACCTGAAGCTGCATGCAGCCCGGGGCCAAGCACACACTGGACCAGTGGGGGCAGCCACACTTCTTACCCAACAAAAGAAACAATTTCACTACAAATGACCTGTCACTGACAGAAATTTCTTCCACACGTCTGGCCTGGAATCAGACTCTGAGGACCCCACACACACTTTTCCTACAGAGCTATGAGGCAGAGGCCCTAGCTGCCTGACAGGTACAGTTTTAGTACCCATATGGGTCTCTGTCCTTGGTCTCGCCATTATTAATTGAAAGGTATTTACTACAGATGAAAAATAAGCTTCCTTCAGCTGCCTCTAAACCGATCCCAAAAATAGAGCAATCGCTTTGGTATAAATTGGGTCAAATGTATTAAAAAAAAAAAATAACCCTGCTCCTGGGCGGGAGGACTGACATGGCATGGGACCTTGCTCAGAGTCTGGGGAAATCCGCAAAGATCTTCACTTCCCAGAGAGAGAAAGGCAGTATTTAAAGAGTCAGGCAGAGAATAAACCATCTGGCCATGGGACCATCCCGGGGAACACAGGACACAAGCATGGATGCTCTGAGTTTCAGAGTATGAAGAGATCAAAGGAATGAATGTTGGTCTTTAAAAAGGCCTGCCAAAGTAACATACTGCCCCTCCCCACAAAAAGAAAAAAAAAAAAGCTGCTGTTTAAGAATTGTCAAGAAAGGATCACTGGGGAGGTGTTGCCAAGGGGAAGAAGAAAGATTTTTTATTCTCATACTTCACTCTCCCACTTAGTAGCTGAGAAAGCCAAATGGCCGAACAGCACTTATAGAGCTGCCCTGAATTTCCCTGGGAAAAATCAGAATATTAATTGGCTTACACATGCAGCTACATTAATTATTCCATTGATATGAATTAATCTGCCTTTCTGAAAGGTATTTATTTTCTAACTTTATTTAATCATGCTCTCTTGAGTACAAAAAGCAACAAACTGGGTCACCATCCACATTGTTAAATTTGGTAACAATGCTGACACCATCTGTGGCCTAGACTATGATAATCTACCCCCACTGAAGGGGGGCTTTTCACTACTTCTGCTTTTCCTTTAAATGATCATTTAACCTCACATGTCTACAACCAAATCAGAAACTATTTAAAATATCCAAACTTACATAAATCATCCCTCATAAAGAATAAATGAATTTATACAACCAGAGAGTGTTGATAGGTGTAGTCTATTCCAATTCCCATTTATAGTTGTGTTTGCAGTAGCAATAGCCAAATATTTCTTAAATTCTGTAGACATCAGACTAGAAAGGCCTAAATATGAATAGACATGCTGCTACATCTGAAATATGCCACAACATTTTAAATGTAACATGAAATCCTGTACATAAACCATTATGGTCAAAATCACAAGAGCATAATTTCAGTATCTTCTAAACCCATTAGAGCTCCCACCCCCACAACACACACACACACACACACACACACACACACACAGAGTTTTGTCTTTACAACACTCACCTAATAAACATCCAGCCCTACTAAAATACACCTTCAAAAAGAGAAACCAAAGGCAAGTGAAGCTAGCTAAAAGATAGGAAAGTAAAATAATACTTTCCTGTTACTCAGCTCTGGTCCCTCACCTGCCATCCGGCATGGTCTCCAATTATAAAAGGCTGATCCTTGCAAGAAGGATGCTAAGCACCAAAAGATCCTGAAATGGCTTCTGAATCATCAAGAAAGATTACAGAATGTCAGAGGTAAAAACAATCCCTGTGATCTTCTCTTCTGAGCCCCTTAACTGACAGATGAGTGAGTGGCAATGCAGAAAGAGTATGGGAAACGCCCCCAAATACTAATTGACAGTCAGGTAGGACAAGCTCCTAGCCCCAACATGCTCCTTAGTCTTGTTTTTTTAAACAATATCAACCTTTCCCAAAGGAAGTTCCATGAAACTCTGGTTTCGTAATGTGTTCTGCCAAAAATATGTTTAAAGAATCCATGACCAATTACTTTTAGGGACAAGCTGCATTAAGCAAATAGAAACTGGTTTTTTAACTACAGACCCTCCTGGAGCTTTTGCTAAGCTAACATGTGCTATAAATCTTTAATAGGGCAATAAAGTATATGGAAGGATCCCAATTTATCTAACCATAGGATCATCGTATCTTGGTACATCTCACAGGAGTAGAAACTTCAGTGCTGTGCTATATTCTTCTCCAAATTATGCTCCATGTAAATTTATTAGTTTTGTTGTATTCTCTTCTCTAAGGACTAATCATTTGTATACAAAGTCTTTGACAATTTTCTACTTACCAGAAAAAAATGACCAAAGTACCTACCACTCCCCCATGACACTGGGTTTAAAACAAACAAAAAGCTGATATTATCAGGAAAAGAATGGTAGACAACAAAAGCCTATGTGGAGAGAAAGGTTATTTTTAAATCTGCTACAAACCTCTTCCATAAAGAGTTCCACATCTATTTATACAAAATTCATGACTTCAAACACTTTCATTCATTATAAATTTGAAAATACAGGTCAAAAAAAAAAAAAAAAACCCAACCCACACTGTTGCAAAGCTCCAGGAAACATCACATGCATAGCTGTAAACTTCAACCACCCAGAAAGCCAACTGCCAGTTCAAGTATAGAAGCAAAGGATAACCACACATCAGGACAAGCAAGAACTCCGAGGACACTTACCAAGTTATGATTTGTTGAATTAGAATCATCTTCAGGGAATGGGATGTAAATAGCTAAGGCCACACAATTGGCAAAAATAGCCAATAATATAAATATGTCAAATGGTCTGAAAAATTTTGTTAAGGTACATATGTGTTATGCAAACAAAAATCATCTCTCTCATCACACTCCCAATCACACCACTTTTGAATCACTTTTAAAACAAAAATTACAGACATCAATTCTTTGTCAACAGACTGTTAGAACTTCTAGGTTTGCAGAAGTAATCATCAGTAGATCTTCCTATCAAATGACCTCTCCATGTCCTTTTCTACTGTTGCAAGGATCACATTACACTCATCCTTCCACTGTACATTTTATATTAAAACCTGAAAGTACATCCAATTAGGGCACTGTGTGAACCAGGTTTCTGCCTCTTGTAGTTTTGAAAGCAACAAGGACCTTAGAAAGCTAAATTCCTGCCTGCGATAGCCATCGTGAGCCAAAATCTCTTCCACAAATCCTCACTTCCATGTGTTACAGCCATTTTCTTGGGAAACCCTCTTGGCTGGGTGAGTCTCAATCACCTGGTTTCAGAATGAATGGAGGCAGGCCAAGTCCCCAGGACTGTCTCCATTCCACCTGTGACTGTCCTGTGGCATATTCCAAGACCTCAGATGCTAAAATAAAAGAGCCAGCGTTTAGCTCCCTCCTCTGCATTCTGTACCAGAGACATCAATGGTTATCACTGTTTCAGATTAGAGCTGGACTGAAGCTCAGTCTATAATGTGGTTACTGCATTCAATTTATAAACAAATTAAATAGAAAGCTCTAAGAAATCAGCACCAGACACTTGCAAAGTACAATTTTAACAAATCTAAATCTCGGGGGTCTGTGTAGAAGACACAGCCTCCAACAGATACTTGCTTAAACATTCTGGTGTTATTAAAAGACATTGTCAAAACTGGCAACACAAAATTTGACATCTGCCAAAATGACTGTTTTTCTTCTTTGGGCTTTCAGCCTTTCCAAATGTAAGGTTTCATGAGCACCAACCTAATCTGATTCCCGGGCTTGAATTTACAACTGTGTTTCTCCCATACACTCACTTACAAAAGGCAAGGCCACCAGGAAACTAAATACCTCGAAGTACTAAGGGTTTCAGGGTGGAACAGACATTTGGCCACTCATCCTGACATCCTTCTGGGAAATCTAAAGATGCTGAAGGAAACAAAGGCCCCTCAGCCCTCCTGAGATACCCTCTGGAGTTTCAGGAAAATGCATCCCCTTGAAGAGCTCTGGTGCTCACTGCCTTAAGGACACTAACTTTATTCCCCGACTAATTTTGATGGGCTTGCTTTTAAGGCCAGTTAGCTTTCATTCATATTTATTCTTTTCACTTACCCAGGATTACAAAATCTTTTGTTCAAGGGTCCCGCTTTAAGGCCATCCATGTTAAAAATTTTTCAAACACTCCTTTTCATTTTTCCCTGTTAGCAGTTCCTAATGAAATTTTACTATCTCTCCCATCCCCTCCACACCACCATTCTTCCTTTTTAATTTATTAATACCTAAGTGATAAACCAGCAAACCTCAAAAGAACCAACACTGTTCAGGAAAACCAAACCAAGGTGTATTTTTCCTCTACAGTGATCCAGTTTCAATCTCCAGCATTGGTAACTACTCTCTCACTGCCACAAGAGTTCTACAAGATAAGCAGAACTGAGCAACACAGAAATAGGTGGCCCTGATCTAAAGCTTCCTTCTGATAAGGTGCACACTCCCCATGCCCCCAAGCAAGTGCAGGATCCTCTGCCTTGCCTGTCAGACAAGACCAGATTCTCTTTCTCCCAGTGCTGACAGGGCCTGGTGCAGCCAGCTTTAGGCGGATTTCTACAATCTGCTCCCTGAACTAGAAGGAAACTGTCATTTGAAAAAAAGAAACTGTCCCACTGTGGGCAGGCTTCTGCCAGTACCGGCAGCCTGTGCACATGTATCTGGCAATGCAGTTAGGGGAGTCGGCAGCATGATCCAGGAATTCTCTCAGTATACATCAATTGCTATATACAAATTACTGTGCACAAAGAGAAACAGCACCAGACCTCCCACCTCACTCCACATGAAATTAATGACCCCACTGAGAGGTCTCTGCTTACTCAGTGTCTCATCAAGCCAACCTGAGGAGAGCTTTCTGGCTGAGAGCAAGCACTGCCACTGACTCCAGAGATGCCAGGGAGGTGCCCCTACTTACCTGGCTCCCTCCTATCCTCAGGGTAGAAAAGAGCTCAGAGAGAAAACACAGCCACACAACCTCAGCTAGGTGAGAGACACCACAACTCCCTCTAGAGAAGAGACATCTGTTCTAAAAAGAAAAGCACACGAAAACCCCTCCAATCCTACCCTTGCATTTGGCTGTTCTCTCCAAAACCTTTCTAGACAGTTACCTCATTTTAACTCGTGTCTATGAGCAGAGAAAACAGCCAGCTAAGACGGAGGGCACACAAACATCTGCCTAACTGGGTACTCAAATGATAAGGGGTCTCTGCCCCGCATTGGAACCTGTTGCCAACATCCTCCCTTTTCTGCAGGGTCCTTCTATCCCCCAGGGCATGGAGGGGAATCCCTATATTCACACACCTTCCTAGGAGTAGGAACTGCTCTAAAGCCCCTGCCAGCCCCAAATCTGCTTCTGGGAAAAGGAAATGCTTTATTTTACCCAGACCAGTGAATCATCCAACTAATTAGAAAGCAGCTTGCTCAGAAGACCTCAGCCAACCTTTTCCAAAGGGTGGCAGTGTCTGGGGTCTGGCCTCAAGGGGTGAGGAAAGGGGTGAACAGGCACAGAACCCTACTTCTGCAACCATCCGGGGATGCGTGGAGTTCAGTTTTAAAAATACAAAGGAGACACCCAGAAATGGAACTCCAATCCAAGGACACAGACAGAATTTTTTTACAAAGGCAGCAACTGCAAATTCCTCCACTGACAGGGCTGTTCTCTAGCTCATGAGGCCTCAGGAAGAAGAGGCCCTGCAAACCGCTGCCTCCACACGCTGCCTCCTGCTCACGTTTCAAATGTCCTTTTTTGAAATGGTCAAAAGGAAATTCCAGGAAGTCATAGCATTGATGAACAAATTGCTCCCTCCCTATGAAGCAAGTGTTCATATTTGTAGCTACCTGAACAATTAAAATCACCAAATGTCAGAGGTAGAAGCCACCTCAGCACTAATTGGGGCTTAGGAAGCAAATTCCAGACACCAGAATGAGAAGATTCTACTAAAGGTCAAAAATGTATTTACTTCTAGACAGACTCAAAAAGCCATTTTTTAAAAAACCACCATACCTTATCTGCATAGGCTCAGTGCACACCACTGCCCAAAATAATGGCAGATTTCAAACTAACCATCTAGTGTCAAAGGACTTCACATTTTAGTTATCTATCACTTTGAAGTTTCAGACTGTCACTGCCACACCCTTACCAACATACACACACACATACACACACACACACACACACACACACACACAGCAGCAGGCTCAGTATACCCACAGAGCCACCCCTCTGCACCCTGAAAAAATAGGAGGTAAACACAATGAAACCCTTTACATACAGCTTCTTCTGTTGCTCACATTCCAGACTGCTGCCGCTTTCTAAGTGCCATTTCAGAAAGCAAATCTTTTTAAAGGACAGATGGTAAAAGAGAAAATGAGAAAGACATCCCTCCCCCCCAAAAAAAGGATACTTCCATTCCACTATACTAATGCAGGCTCTTCGGATGGGGTTATTGAGTGATAAACAGAAAAGGGCGCGGGCAGGTCGGCTGTTGGACGAGTTACCCTGTTTTTTGCTCTTGGCGTATTGCTGACGTTTTCTTTGGGAGAGAGATCCTACAGGTGGCGGTGCGGAGGTGCTCATAGTTTGGGCAGCCTTGGCCTGTCTAGCGGCATCGATTGCAGCTTGCCAAGACAGGACAGTTTGCTTGGAGCTATTCGGCTGAGAAGTTGGTCCTTCACAAGAAAGAGGGAGTCTGGTGCCTCTTGCATAGTTTGCCTCTGGGAAGAAGGAGAAAAGGAAAAATTTTAAAAAGAAAGAAAGAAAGAAAGAAAGAAAGAAAGAAAGAAAAGAAAATCCCGTATTGGAAAAAACCAAGGTTATTTCCCATCAATAACTGGAAGAAATGATCCCCATGTTTCCACTTTGACCCTCATGTCTTATTTTTTGAACCATTCCAGCGTGGCACCCAACATGACGGTGTCTTCAAGGGAGTCTCATCTCCCAAGGACTCTTTCAGTGTATTTCTTCTGACAGAGGTCATTCACATTTTCATTCCACATCTTTTCTGACTTTTAAAACCCATGTATCTCTAGTGAGTTAACAGACATGTACAACAGCTTTCCTGCAAAACAACTACCTCCATCACACACACACACACACACACACACACACACACACAGAGGCAGTGCCAATAATTCAATAGTCTTAATCATTTTCAGGGTGTTACTCCAATATCTTTCCACAGCCACAAAATCTTTTTTTTCCAGCATGGAAAAAAAAAATCCCCCCACTGGCATCAGGGCAATACCAAAAGCCCCATAACAAATACCTAGATTATGCACTGACACTTCCTGCAAATGAAAATTCATGATGCTTGGGACTCATTTCCTCCACAGGCTTCCGAAAACAGAAAACATCTTTAGGGCTTTTTTGCATTTTAAATTGCAGCCACAGCAGCCAAGACAGCATTCAGAGAGACAGATGAAGCAGGCACTCTGCACCCCTACACCTAGGATAGCCAGACTGGATTGTGCCAGGCGCCCTTCAAGGCCTAAGTAGCAATCATGCTAGTGTAGACTGGTACCCAGGTGTACACACGGCATAACTCCAAGGAGGCTATGTGCAAAGACCCATCTGTCTTTGGGTCAGGTCACCACCCAAGCACATCTCCCCAGCACCTGCCTGCCATGGGTCACAAACTCCTTACTGAGATAGAAGCCAAAGTAGGAGAAGTGGCAGAGATAGAAGGATGGACACTTGCAAAACCAATTCTCCCTAAGAATAAAGGAGAGTCAACGGCAAGCACAGGTCTACCTGCCCAGCAGCCTGAGGCGTGGCTAAGAGGGCAGGCAGCAGACAGCTCCAAGCTGAAGAGGAGTCCTGCCAAGCCTTTCCTTGGGGAATGCTAACCCTGGAAGGCAAGGAGCCCACCAGGATGCAGAGGGTGCCTTCGACCTCCAAAGAGGAGGCAGGAGGACTTGCCAGGTGCTACTCCTGCCTCCCTCCAGCCAGCCCAGCCGGCGTGGTAACTGCACGTGGTGCCCGGGCCAGGGTGGGGAGGGGAGCGCCACAGCGGGAGCGGCTCCCCGGGCATTGCTAGGTTACCGACGTGTGCACAGCCTGCGCAGGGAGAGGGAATAAGCACGGCCACCCGACCCCCTTGCCGGCAGGTCCTAGACCCGGCCTCCCTCTCCAGGGGAGGGGTGTGCTTCACCCACCGGCGGGAAAGGTGAAATCTAGAATTTTCCCGATGCCACCAAAGACCTTATTCTGAGACTACCAGGGGGCGAGGAAGGAGGGGAAGGAGAAAGGAGGCTGGCGAGGGGGCTCGGGAGAAGACCAACAGCCACCCTTCCGTAGCTCGGAAGCGCCGGAGGAAAGTTGAGCCCGAGGACACTGAACCCGAATCACCTCCGCCCGCCACCCCTCGGGCGGCACCGCACTCCACAGACTCCTCGGCCGCCCCCACCCCACAAATGCAGAATTAACTCTGACATTCAAGGCCTGAAGGGGAGAACGGAGTGGCAGTCACGCATCTCCCCTCTGCGTGTAGCTGACACCGAGCTGGGAGCATCCTCTCCAACCCCCTCAGCCCACCCCGCGCATCCGAGACGGGAGGGGCGAGAAGGAAGAGGGGGTGGGAAGAGGAGGACCATGACAAGGATTCGATTTGGCGGAGGGTGCCCAGGCTCCGGCTGCTCACCGTTCGCGTGGTCCGCTTGCTGCTGCCGTTGATGCTGCATTTTTTTCATCATCATCATCATCATCATCCACGAACATTTATTGAGCGCCTACTGTGTGCGGGGCACGGGGCTGGGCGTCGGGGCGGGGGAGGAGCGGGTGAGGGGGTTACCGGTAGGTGGGAGCTGCGGCCCCTGCCCTGATCCTCGCTTCAGCAGGGGGTGGGGAGGGCGAGGACAGATAACAGAAAACAAGAATAATTTATAAAAACCGCTCTCCACCCACGCTCCCTTTTCAAAAATGGAGCAAAATAAACTTTTTTTAAAAATAAGAGCAGATGTATATATTATCTTAGCAATATATACAGGTAATTTTTTGCTGCAAAGGAGAACTGGCTGGGTCTCCTCCCCTAGCGGAGGGACGCCGCGGCGATGCCGGCCCGGCCGCCGGGGCCGCCCCGCGCGCCCCCCATGCCCGCCCGCCGCCCGCCGCGGTGCGGTGCCGGGAGCCGGGAGCCGGGAGCCGGGTGCCCGCCGCCGCCCGCCGCCCGCCGCCCGCCGCCCGCGCCGCCGCCCGCGCCGCCGCTGGCTCGGGACCGCGGGCAGCCGGAGCTCACATCCGGGACGGAGGCGCTCGCTGCTCGCTCGCTCCGCGCCCGCCGCGCCGCGCCGCACGCCGGCTTCGCCCTGGCGACGCTGCGCGCCCGCCGCCGCCGTCCCCTCCCCCCCGCCCGCCCGCCGCCCGCCGCCCGCCCGCCCGCCGGGCCGCCCCGGGCCCCCGCGCCCCGCGCCCCGCGGCCCGGCCCGCGCTCCCCCGCACCGCGCGCGGTCGGGGTGGCCGCCGCGTGGGACTCGGGGTGCCGCCACCCCGGCGTGGCTTGGCCGACCCGCGGGCGCCAAAGGGTTAAGCGCGCTCCGGCCGCGGGCCGCCCGCTTAACCCCCTCGGCGCCGCAGCGGGCTCGCCCCCTACCCCCCGAGGCCGGCGGGCGGGGCCTGCGGATCCCGCGGACGCCGGGTGCCCGCGAACGGCTCTGGCCCCCGCATGTCTGCGGGGCGGGGGAGGGGACGCCCTGCCTCTCGCGGCCCGCGGAGCCCGCGGCGCGGTCCTCCCCCTCCGCACACCTGGAGGAGGCCCCGCCCCCTGGGAACACAGGTGCGGGCGGGCGGCGCTCGCGCGTCGCGGGGCTCTGCCTGGCGCGCCCAGCCCGCCGGAGCCCCGCCGCCCCCCGCCCCCGCCCCCGCCGGCCTTCAGGTCACGGGGCTGACGGAGGAGCCGGTCTCCGCGGAGAGCACTCACCGCCCCAGGTAACACACCTTGATGGCTAACGGGACGTCCCCGCTCCGCCCCAGAGCCTCCGGGTGCCCTAAGATGGGGGTGTGGGGAGACCTTCTCCGCGCCCCCCTCCCCACGTGTGTTTGCAGGCTGGCACTGGGAAGTAAAAGCCAAGATCTTTCAAACCTCTCGTGTAGCTCCAAGGACTAGGTCGTGCGGCAGCACCGCTGCCTCCGTGGAACTGAGAGGAGTTTGAGGTCGGGTCGCCTCTTGTCCTGTAGTGGGGCTGGGGGTGTGCACGCGGCCGCTCCTGTCTAGAGGGGACATGCTGTGTCTGGAGGTGACTGATGTTTTTCATTTGGTTAGACTCACTGCTGGGGAAGGACGTCTGCTTTGTTATCGCACAAGATTCGATTTATTTGCTTTTGTCCCGACCTACATGTTCCTACAGCGTTTGAGAATAGTGTCGTTAAAGCAAAAATAAAGCAAAAAACTCAGTGTGAGTTAAGAAAATGAAAGCGTTCATGGAAAGGTGCTCTTTGGGCAAAGAAAGTTCACGGGGTGGTCTCAATTGTTGGGGGTCACCTGGGGAGATCAAGTGGGGACCAAACAGAAGACTCCAGGAACCTTTCCAAGGGGGACTGGAAGAAGGAAATAACAGGCACCTGTCCCTTTTTTTGTTTGTTTTGGGAGGGAGGAAAGGCAGGAGAAGAACCCTGTGGCCTATTTTAAATAGAAAGTTGGTGTGGACCACCCCACACAAGCTGCTTCTGAGCCCAAATCTGATCTGAGAGAACATAGTTCCCTTCAAAGAACTTACCCATCCTGGGATCTCTGAGCCCTAAAGCACGTATAAAATTTGCCAATATATGTCACTTTCATAACTCTGGTCTCCAGCCTCGCCTCTTGAGACCCTAGCCTGTAAAATTCCACCCTAATATTTGTTTACAATTCAGTTTTAGTTCATGCAGCCCCTATTAAGAACAGGGTTAGGTGAGGAGGTGTTGGGACTGTCAGTGGCATAGCCTCTCCTTCCAGGACATACAGCCTAGCAAAGGAACACAAGTTTGTGCACATCTCTAATACCACACAGAACACAGCAGCTTTCATGGGCATTCAGTCCTATGTGCACATCAAAGACATGCATTGCAACTGGAGTCATCAAATGTTTGTTTACAGCAGAGACAGCATCTTAACTAATTCTTAAAAACATGGGGAAAGAAAGAAAAGGGGGGATAGAATGGCTAGCGCACAGGGCAATTTTGGGACAGTAAAGCTATTTTGTATGATCATGTGATGATGGAGATGGGATATTATGCACTTGTCAGACACCATGGAGTGAACCCTAATGTAACTATGGACTTCAGTTAATAATAATGGATCAATATTGGTTCATCAGTTGTAACAAATGTGCCAGACTAATGCAAGACGTTAACAATACGAGAAACTGTTGGGGAAGGGAGTATATGGTAATTCTGTACTTTCTCTGTAATTTTTGTAAACCTAAAACTTTTTTTAAGCCTATTAAAAACAGGTTACTAATTTTATTAGCAGGAATGGGGTACGTGGAATGAGCTTTTGGAGGAAGAATAATGGGAAGGGCAGAACAAAATGTATTTGAAAATAAGCAGGGATGCAGTGTGGTGGAGGTACAGGCCGCCTGGGCTAGGGGAGGGAGGAGGCTGGGACAGCCAACCAAAGCCAGGGGAAGGTTTGCTGGCTTGCTAAGAAGACCAGATTGATCCTCCCTGCAGTGGGAACTAGTGGAGGTGTTTTAAGTTGAGAAGTGACATGATTAAACTACAACTCAGATACCTAGGTTTTACACTTTAGTTCTTAATGACTTTATGCAATTAGAATATTTTGCCTTTTCTCCATCCCAACTTTTGAATGAGCCCCATCTTTGCAGTATCTCCAGCAAGCATCTTTTGAGGGCCTTGATTCAGCACAGCTCTGAATGACTTGGCCCATTGTGTAATTAAAATATTTATGTTCTCCATCATAATGTGAATTACTGAATAAACAAATCATAATAGCTAATATTTTTTAAAGGTTTCCTACGTGCCAGGCACATGTATTAACTGATAACAAGCTTTTGAGACAGATACTATTACTACCCTCATTTTGTAGATGACAAAATCAAGATATCAAGGAATTAAGTAATTTGCCCAAAACCACACAATTATTTAGTGACTGGGGCAATAAAACATGATTAAAGGCTACAATAAAAGATTTCAGCTCTAAATCAGGCACATGTGGTAAGACTCCATGGCGTCACCAGTACATCACAATGGGGTTCTCCATCCCCAGCCTTTATATATATAATACTCCCATTTAAAAGCATTGAACCAGCATTCTTGATGTAGTTACTTGAATGTTTTCATTAAAAAAAAAAACCTTCCTGATACCCCAGTCCAGAACCTCACCATCTCATAGCCCTGGATCATTAACTAGATGCCCCATCTCCAGTCCTCCTTCCACAAATAGTCCATCTTGTGCTCAAAAATACCTTGTCATTTCCCTCACTTCCCTCCTTCCTTCCATGTCCAATCTAAACCTTCAACCTTATCATTTCGGACCATTCACCTTCACTGTAGTCAGCAGACTCCTTATTAGGTGATGAACACGCTGTGCTCATTTCTGACTCTGTCTCAGCTCACATTTACTCAATGACCTGAAATCCTGCCTCACTGACCTCTACATAAACCCTCCCTACTTGACAACTCCACATCCAGATCTTCCCTCCTCCCAGAAGCTTTCTCTTTTCCAGCCACTTTGGACATATCTGTGCCCCAGTCTTCCCCACAACCTCCTCCACCTCTACCTCTCCATCCCTAAAGGCCTCCAGCACCTGATTATTCCTTGCATTCTTGTATCTTGTTTGATTGCTTCTTGGCTATAAATGCTGTCTCTCCACAGTGCAGGTCTTTATGCAAGAATCATATCCTTCACCCCCTGCCCCAATGCCAAGTGCTAGGCTCACAGCAGGCACTAAATGATTAATCTGCACAGGATCATAAAAGCCCACAGATATCACTAGAAATTGTCAAATAATATTTACAAAAATCCCATAAAGTGATGACAGGACACCTAGCCCCTAGACAGTAAAAAGAATAAATGGGGGAGGGGGTGGAAGGATGGGAATTGAGTCCTTTGCACTCCAGGAATTCTAATTAAGGAAGATATCTGCAGAATAATGTACAAACTGAACTTGGATTGGAATGAGTCTCTCCATCCTCAGGCCCTTGTGCTAAAATAGTTCTGACCCACTTGTCACCATCAGGTAGATGAAGGATATGGGAACATTTGCTCCAGGTAAAGGAATTACATGCAGAAAGTCAGGCAGAGAAGTCCAAAAATACAGAAATCAGGAAGTAGGTGGTTAGGCTGGAACCGGCGGGTACTTTGAAAATAGTGGTAATGAGTGAGGTTGCAAAGGCAGGATGGAGTGAGATAGTGGAAAGTCCTTATATCTGGCTCACTTGTCTGCGCGTTGTCCTGTAGGCCAACATTTCTTAAATTTTTTGGTCTCAGGACCCCTTTACACTCCTTGATAAACCTCAAAGAGTCTTTTGCTATGTATATCTTTTTTATCCCTCTCAGAATTAAAACTGAACAGCTTAAAAATCATTTATAATTCACTTTAAGTTAAATTCCTTATATGTTCACATAATTTCTTTATCAAAAGTAACTATGCTTTCCAAAACAAAGTAGCAAGAAGGGTGTCATCATTTTACATTTACACTTACATCCTTTACTGGCTGGCTGGAAACAACACAGCTAGATTTTCATATCTTCTTCAACATCCAATCTGTAGTGACAGAATGTTTGGATTAAAGTATATGAAGACTATCCAGCCTTATACAGATTGTGATTAGAAAAGGGAGAATTATTTTAATAGCATTTTCAAATAATTACAGATATTCTTCTTTGCAATGACACTAAAACAACTTTTAAAGGTTAAAATGTGGAATTTGTAACCATATCAGTGAAACCTCTCAAACTCTGTTATGTTAAAATCTATCAGTCTACACAGCACTTCTAATGGATCTTTTAACCAGGCATGATTCAGTAACATTATGCATTGGTCTTTTGGAAAAAGTGGTTCACAGAGTTTCCAAATGTTGACACATTTTATTATACAAGATCAAGAAACCACACTCACTGAGTTTATCACCACCATCCTCATCGGAAAGTCTTTTTAAGTATTGGGAAGCTGTCAAACTCTCAGTGGTAGACAGAAGTTTTTCAAAATACTAATTTTCACATGAAAGCGCATATTTTATAATTGGCACAAATACTGTCAAGTTTTTTCTTTGAGATGACTGGCTCACTTCATTTTCAAGAAAATATCTGTGAAATACTTACATCTGAATAGCCATAGTTTGTCAGTAAGACTGGTATTCCATAGAAAAAAACCAACAATAACCACCCATTCCAGCTTCACACATCTAACCATCACACACAAGTGGGATAATTGTTGTGTGTATCAGAAATGTTTATGCATGTGTCTCAATCTGTGACCCAGAATAGCAGAAAGACATCTACTCAGGGGTGAGCTTTCATAAAACTATTAATTTTTTACTGCTTAATTAAGAAAATTCTTAAGTAAACTTGTTTTATATTGTGAGTGCATGACCGAGATTGTGCATAATACATCCACAGAGGCACGCAGTGTCCCTGTCTTGACTCCTGCTAAGACACTGTTGATTTTGCAAAAGCCAAATGGTAAAAAAAGGCCAATACATTTTGCTATTACTATGAAAATAGTTTTGACCTCAAAGACCCCTGTTAAAGAGTCTTAAGTTCACCCAGGTAAGATTTCTAGATAAAATATAAGATGGTCAAATATTGCACAGGACATGTTTATACTAAAAAATTATTTGTTTGAAATTCAAACTTAATGGGGCATCCTATGCTTTCATTTGTTACAACTGGCAACCTCACCTCTATGGGTCCATAGACCACACTTTGCAAACAACTTCTCTCAGGTCAGTATTGGGCGGAGAAGTGACATCACAGTTGTGCTTCATGAGAACACCTCTAGCCCCTGTGGTCAGGAGGATCCGAAGGTGTAGAGATTTGTAGATGTCAGAAGCTCTGATGAGTAAATTAAGATGCTACTTCTTAACTATAGTTGCTGGGAGGGGCAATGCTATTCTAAGCTTAGGCAAGAAAAACAGACCTGCTGAAGGCAGCTGCCAGCTCAGTGGGGTCTCCTATCCTGTGGTAGTAACTAGCCACCCACCCTCCTCCCATCTATCCAAACCCACCATCAGAACTTCTTGATTACAACTGATTTATACCCCACCCAGCACAATTTAAAGCCTTTCTTCTTGCTTTGGCCTCATTGAAAGTAGAACCCAGCTGGTCTTTATCTTTCATCAACTAATGATACTCTTGAAGAGAAGGATTTTTTTACATTTCACATCAGACTAAGTTATTCCAGTTCCTTTAACTGGTTCATTCCCAGCCTCCTTGACCCAGTTCTTAAGTCTTATCCATCACTCTCTGATGTACCACTTTGTCTGCCTTTCCCCAGTTGGGGAATCTTGGCAGAGTATAGTATGTGCAGTCAACAAGTGGCTGTACTGACTGTGGGAAGCAGGGCAGGCAGCAAGTCTTCTCCTTCCCCTCAGTGACATCGACTGGTTATAAAACATGATCTCTAAGGGTTCCTACCATCTCTTCGGTATATTGGAGATGATATATTAGAGAGTCTAGACTTTGGAGCCAGGTAGTTCTGGGCTAAAATCCTGGCTTTGTCTGCTACTACCTTTGTTGCTTTGAGGGAGTCACTTACTCCCTTAAGGTAAAACAGGGATATCACCCATCTTCTTGATTTTTTTGCAAAGATTAAAAGCAGTGTTGTAGAGCCCTCTGACACTTGCCATCTAGCTAACTCATATTCCTCCTGTGAATTTAAATATATGCAGTTACATAGAGAGAAAGGAAGGGTGGTAGGACATCATTAAAATGTGCTCACTGGAGGGCCTCCCCTGGTGGCGCAGCGGTTGAGAGCTGGGCTGCAAGGCTGCCCACAGGCCCTGCAGCTCTGGTTCCTTGCCCGGCTGCTGGCGAGGGTCCCACCAAAAAAAAAAAAAAAAATGTGCTCACTGGATCTGCCCTTCCTTTGCTGGGTCTTAGCTCTTACCTTTATGCCCTGACTTTAGAACTTCATTCTCTGCCCCTGTAAAGACCAGGTCCCTGTCATGGCTCTTCTTTCATTAGCAGCATTCTGCTGTTCAACATAGTCCCAAAGCAAAAGAATACAGTGGGGGGTGAAGGGAGAGAGTTAATAGTCTTTGTATTTCACTTAATTTTAATTTCCTGTACACACTTTAGTATTTAAGAGTCAAGAGTCAGTACTGATAACCCTCTAAGCTGATAAAGTAGGGCAGAAATTTTTTAAATAGGTATTTACATACATCCACATAAGTGCAGCCTCGTGACACATGCTGAATGTTAAGAGTGAACACAGAGCACATCCAACTCTGGGCTTAGTCAACACTGCTGCACAGCCACCTCCAGGTGAAAAGCACCAACTAACCACTGGAATAAAATTGGTAAATTCACAAGCTGTAATGGAAAACTAACACAAGTCTGCATCTGGTCAACCACAGGAACAAATTTACAAGGACAGAAAGTTGTTCGGGAGATCAAGAGATTTAATAAATGTCAGAAATTTAATAGTTCAAACATTATAGTTTCCTTCCTGTTTCTTCAGAGCAGTTGTTTATTCAATTCACAAAACATGCAAAAGTTTCAACAGCCCAGCACCTTTCAGACCTGGCACCTACCATATGGATGCATGTAGAACTGTTTACTTTTCTTACTACTTTTTTTTAATCTAAGTCACAAATCCTTGATACTGACATAAGCTTTTTAAGCTTTTTAAATCAATGGCATGGGGGAACATAAAGTAGGAAATGAAAATATTGGGAGTCTTCATTTCTACAGTTTTACTAATAAAGCCCATAGAAATAAGCAGCACAAATTTTTAGTGCTTTGGACTCTCTTTGATTAACACAAAGTAGAGAGTACTTAGCCAACATAATAACATTTTCTTTCTGTTTGTTAAAAAAAAATGTAATTTGGAAATGCAGTAACCTCTATTATCTTCATGATTAAATAAATCATGAATGCCCTATATAGATGCTAAAATTTGGGATTGTAACTTTTTAAAAGGTTCCTATTTGAGAAACTTTTATAAATGAATAGAAACATTGCAGGAGCCAAAAACACTTATTTGAAGAAGATTCATTATACAAACTTAAATAACTCATTAAGGATTGCCTGTTTCATGTTTTAATAACCAGGTTGGCACTGTATTACATCCCAAAATATGGAACTTTATATTTGTCAGTTTTATCTTTTTTTTCAGCTGCTATTTTTAATGTGTTTATAATACACTGAAGACATCTCAGTCAATCATGTATTGAGCAAAATAATCACCATGGCAGGGAGACACACATGGTAGTCTTTATTGTCAACATGTCTTTAAAACTGAATAAATATTTGTTAGTGTTCCATTTTGATAAATACAAGGAACACATGGGGCTGAAAGGGAAACATACCAAGCGCTCCATAATTTTTCAAAGGCTGACACTACTTTAATGGTAAATAACAAAGGATGTATGGGAGGGTTTTTACAAATACTCTACATCAGAAACAGACTAGACCTTTGATGATGTGACAGAGTCACCAAGTCACTCAAAGAGAGGACAGCTTGGTCCATGAGGCTAAATCCCTGAGTGGTTTAAAAGGTCTTTTTGATTCTTCCTCCCCACAGCCTGTACCTCTTCCCTTCCCTATCCTCTCCTTGGTTTCTTTTCCCAGCTCCTACCTAACCAGCTTCCCTTTACACTCAAGGACCTTTCTTTTTGGGGACTTACCTTCCTCTAGTCCCTTTACTTTCTCCTCCAAATATTTCCTCATAAATCTCCAAAATGCCCCAATTCCTCTAGCTCACTGTGGCCTGCTGAAGATAATATGAATAAAAAAAAAATTCCACAGAAAGATGCCAAAGATTGAGGAAGATCTGGTATTGGTCACACTTAGCTGACCTCCTAGAACTTCGCAATGGTAACATTTAGAACCAGAAAAAGGCAGAGAGAGTGAGATGGAAGCCAGCTTTGCTCTTCCCTGGCTGGGTGAACTTCAATAACCCCAGTCCTTCTGAACTTGCTACTTTTTCTGTGAAGCACCTATCTCATGAGGTCACAGAGTATAAAAGAACTATAGGATATTGATATAGGAAAGCCCCTGATCCATGGTTTCCAAAATATAGTACCCACAATGTTTCAGCACTAGCTCACCTGAGAATCTGTTAGAAAGGGAAATTCTTCAGCTTACCCAGACCTACTGAATCAGAAACTCCAGAGGTAGCATCCAGCAATCTGTTTTTAACAAGTGTTCTAAATGACTCTGATATATACTGATGCTTGAAGACCTGTGTCTTCACTGTACAGATGAGTTACTTTTCATGAGATTTCTTCTCATAGCTTTCGATGGTTCTGAACAGACTCAGCCAGCGTGAGCAATGTTAATGCTCTTGTGTTGCAATGGTGCTTAACTGCGTGAAGAGCACAATAGCTTATTTTCTTCTGTTCTCTTCTTCTCACAGAATTTCAACAAAATAAGGCAACTGGATTTACTTAGGATGTGGATTATACAATTTATGACACCCTTGAGGACTTGAAAATATTCTACCACAAGGGCATCCCAACAATTTGATGGACACCTTTACTGTACAGAATGGTTTCAAAGATACCAGGAAGATCAAATCTACAGGTTTCCACCCAACTCACTGATGCCAGGAATTCTCTCATCACCACTTCATCTTCCTCTTGCAATACCAATATCCCAGGAAATACCACAGCTAGTCCTTTACCTCTCAGGTAGGACAAAGGAAAAGAAGATAACATGCACATCTTGTTTTCAGGATATGGATGTCCACTTCTGCTTTGGAAAGCATACACTAAAGAGATGTTATCTAGGGTCACTGTAGGCAATTGCACTTCCTCCACAATTTTACCAAAGGCCAGGTGTGCATACAGAACCAGATGTATATAATAGGCACATTAAAAACCTTAAAAATTGATTGGGGGGGTGGTCTCAGACTGAAGAAGGAACAGTGAATAGACCACAATAGCTACAGAACCCAGTGGAAAGATTCCTACCTTTTGCACACCAGGAAATACAGAAAACCTCCCAAACCATCATGGAAATTGATCCCCAGTTTTCATTGATGTCCTCTTCCTCCTTACCTGTATATACATTTGACATTATGGTGTTCCTTTTTTAATGAAGTGTTACATTTATGTTGTATTTAGTATTACATTGTAGTTTACAAAGCATTCCCATAAGCAATATTCCATTGGCTCACTGCAGCCCTAACAGGAAAAGAAAATTACTCATTATACTGGGGTGGAAACTTGTGCAAGGCTACCACCAGTAAGTTAAAGCGCTTACTTAGATTTGAACCCCGGTTTTCCAACACCAAGCCTACTTGTTTCATCTCAGTGTGTATTTCAATCTGTTTTACATTCTACTGCTGATCAGTTATGTGCATTACTGCTCAACTCCTACTCTTCCTAAAAGAAAGGGATGCTTGTCTCTGGAGCCCTGGTTCAGACCGGAATTCACAACCTCCCATCATTCGAACAGGTTCCCACTTTGCTCCCACTGTGTATCTCCTCCCTGCTTTTAGAGCTCCGAGCTTAATGACTCCACAGATGGGCAACACTGTCAGCCATGGAAAAGAGATTCTGCTACACATAATTGTACTCTGAAAATACAGTGTGCAGCTGAGTCAGAGTTGGCAGGGGAACTTCACATGGACCAGAACCTTCTGTGAACTCTACAGCATAGCCCAGGGCATGGTCCTTTCCTGATTCCAGGTAGGGGGTTAACTAGGCCAAGGGAGAAAGACATTCCTTGCACTATTGTTGAGGTCAGGGCACTATTTCATGCAGAGAATTTTGGTCAAAAGTTTTCTAAAATTCCTTCAAAGCCTATCATTCTAACCTAGAAACAACAAAAGCCTTTATTCTGACATCTGGTGACCTTGTACCATTCATGTGACTCAAGCTCCCATCTCTATAATAATGGACTATATATCCATACTTCTGTCCTGTCCTAAGCTCCAATGCTACATTGCCTAGTACCTTCCAGATATAGTTACCAACAAATCTAAGTAGAAATGTCTCAAACCAAACTAATTTCTCAGTATCCTCTCTAAACCAGCTTCTCCCATGGCAACTTCTAGAACAGCCATTTTCTCAACCATCAAGACTCAACATGGTAGAGTTGTATTCTTCTTTTTTTTGTATTTGGTTCATCACCACTAATTTCTGCTTTCTGAGTACACTCTTTCATTTTTACTAGCTCTTTCACTGCGCTATTTTCTGATCCAACATTTTCATTCTTGCTTTACAGCCATAAAAATAGTACATCCCAACCTTGGTTACAGGTTAGAGCTTCTTAAGACTTCCAAAGTCCAAGCCCCATGCCCAAAAATTCTGATTCAGGGGGTCTGGTGTGAGGGCTAGTTAGCAGAATCACAGAGAATTACTGTACTGAGCTAAAGCACTTTTCAAACTTTAAAGTACACAGGAATCACTTTTAGATCTTATTAAAATGGAGATTCAGGTTCAGTCAGGTTGGGGGTGGGCCTGAAGTGATGCTTTTCCAGCAAGCCTCCAGGTGATGCCTAGGTTTTAATTCCCAGACCACACCTTGGGACTCAGCTCATCGAACACCCAGCATCCCCGGGGAGCATAAGGCCCCTGCCTCATTTCTCACTGCTTCTTGCTCTCACCGGGCATGCTCTCCACTCCTCCCAACACATTGGCCCTGCCTCACCTTCTGATTCACCTGGAATGCTGGACTCCTTTCTCTCTATCTGGTTAAATCTTACCCCTCTGCCAGGCCCAGTCCTGGCCCCCTTCTACCATTAAGTTCTCCAAAAACTCTATGGTTTATTGATCTTTTTTTCCACAGCTATAGAAAGTATGGCAATCTTTTTACCACATAATAAATTCTGCTGCTGACGGCAAGAAGAAAACTGCAGGGAGAGAGAGATGGGATCTGGGCACCATTGTCAACACATTGTAACTGCTGGCAAGCCACTTCCTCTTGTGAAAAATAACCCAATGGCAAAAGTCCACCTGGTAAAGGCTAAATTGGATCAGTGATCTTGTTTTTCAAAGTCACTTATTTCATCTTTAAAACTTCCTCAGAAATCTGATCCAAGAGAATAAGTCCTATGGACATGTAAGACAAATGGTAATAAAATGCAGACATGTCCATAGCTGGAACTATTCCTCAGAGCAGTCAAGAGGAACTTTAGAGGTCACTAATCAACTGTCCCTCTCCCCATCATTGGATTGATAAGGAAACAGAAGCTCTGAGAAGAGAATTGCTTCATTATATGGGTTAGTAGCAAATTCACAATCAGAGTCCAGTTCCTTCTTTTGTTTTGTTTGCTCCAGTAACTACATAGTATTCATTTCAGAATAAGAAGCATTTGGTTTTTCCAAATGTAGTAGCTTCCTAACTGCTACTACTGTAGTAAGCAAGCAATACACCCATGCACTCACTGCCATTGACTGAACTGTGTGTAATAACAAGATATTGCAAGATGGCAGCCTGGAGTTACCCCACCAGAAGCAGAATCCTCTTGCTGATACTAGAGGACAGTGGTGCCCACTATAGTTGTGTAGGGAACTCCTGATGATCCAGCTAAAACAAAGTTCAACTCTTCACCCCTGACTTTAAGATCCCCTACAGTCTGGTCCCATCCTAACCTAAAAGCACCTCTCCCTGCTGGCACATTCCAGTCACACTTGCTGTTTCTCACACATGCCTTATAACCATTCTTAAGCTACCCACATCTAGGCACAGGAACTGCATGGACCTGGTTAAATCTGCCATGTGCCCTTCAACCTGTTGACCTTTGGCACTGAGCTGGGCAACTGCTCACCCTGAACCTGGGTCCAAGCCCCACAAAGTTTCCACCATTGAGGAACTGTGGGCCTATCTTTCCAGGATAAAGGAGCTTTTCTTTTCTCTTTTGGCTTCCTCATGCCACCTCAGGTGAAGTTTCACTGTCTAGAGGCCAGACAATTGTCATGCTGTGGCCAGAGATGTTTAATTGGATCTTAAAAGATGAGAAAAGCAGCAGGGAGCTGATTGTCAGCCCTCTTACAAGGACCAGAGGCAAGGATGGCTTAGCAGCACAGAGGAGGGCTGGCCTGCCCTATGCTCATGCCTGTCTCTTTCTGGGGGCAGGAGGACGGAGGAGAGGGGGAGAGATGTGGCAATGCCAGCAGACCCTTTGGCAAATTCAGTTCCAGTTTGCCTATATTCTGTTTTTAACCCCAAGAACTGGACTCTCAGGAAGTAACCAAGACTTCCCTTTTTAACTTATCCTTTCTTGGAAGACAGACTTCCCTATGCCTTAATATGGATCACTTATTTTTATATTTTATAATACCTTTTCATCTCTATGCTACCCTTTAAGCCTCACTCAACCTCTGCAGTAGGTGAAAATATTATCATCCCCAGTTTATCAAAGAGTAAACCAGATTAATTAAGTTGGGACTTGAGTTTGTCCAAGGTTATACAATTAGTAAATGGTTAAGCCAGAACTGGAGATCAGTTGTCAAAGATCCCTGATGAAAAGGTAGATAACAATTTTAATCATGACAAGTATATAGCCCCAATTCCTGCAGCTTAATACTGCTCCTCAAAGAAAGATCCCTTTGTTGTGACCGTGCATGAGCCCTAAAGGTTAATTAAAAATGGAGGTTCCCACATATGCCCTACATCAATGACTTGACAGAGCCTGTACATAGAAACATAGATGCTCCCAGGGCACGTAAGGATGTCATTGTGCTCTGCTACTGCTAGGCAAGAGTCCATGGGTCCATAAACCCATATCTAGTGGCTAAGAAGGAGGATCTATGGGTACTACTCTGAGGTCAGTGGTATATGTGACCATGAGCCCAGACTGAGAGATTCAGCTTCAAGGGGAATAGGGTTCTTGCAGGTCAGGTCTGCAACTGGGTAGGGGAAGTGATTCTTTCACATTATTTTTCTCAGAAAGATCTCAGGAGAAAACCTTGATAATATATATATTTTCCTAAAGCTGAACTTTAGAACTGCCACCTGTCCCTGACACACAAACCATTTTTAAAGACTTGGAGAATAATACTTTTCCTGAAACAAAGAACAGCATTCATTCTTTCAGTCTTGGCTGTGAAAGATTTTCACCTCTCTCAGAGGATCTGAGGATCACTGAGAAAGCACACAGAGCATCTTTAGCCCTTAAGAAAACAGACTAAGTGGGGGCCAAGTGGCTCAGAGAACACA